GGCAGAGTCTCATTATGTTGCCCTCGGTAGAGTTCTGTGGCATCATAGCTCACAACAACCTCAAACTCCTGGGCTCAAGCAATTCTCTTGCTTGAGTTTCCCAAGTAGTTGGGACTTCAGGCACCTACCACAACACCCGGCTACTTTTAGAGACAGGGTTTTGCCCTGGCTCAGGCTGGTCTCCAACCTGTGATCTCAGATATAGGCGAAATGCCTATATGCCTCTGGCCAAAAAAGCCGTTTGAGAGAGAGCAGTGAAAAGACTTTGTGCAGGCATACTTGTGAGAATCTGAGGCAGAATCCCATATGGCCGGGTTGGTTGTGGGCCTAACTTGACCAAGGCTCTGGCTGGAATGGCATTTCCAGAGATGTCCAGACTGCGTTAAGGAATTAAGGTTGACTTTATAAGGCCAATAAAAAAGCCCTTTGGAAAACTGGCCAGATACCCATCAGTAACCTTTCCTGATCTGTGGTAAGTGACGAAGGTCGCTTGCTGACGGTCCGGGAATGGAAATGTGCTCAGAGACCTCAAGAGAAGAGAAATTTACCCAACGCATACAGGTATCTATGGCACAGATGAAACCTGGGCTCATGAAAGGCTTTTGAGAAGTCTAGCCTGAAAATTCCTTATAAAAGGTTCCAGCAAAAACCCCCTGACTTAAGGCCCACATGGGAGCAGAGGTTTGCACACAAATTCCTGTATGCCCAAGAAGTTTCTTTATGCGTTGCTTAAAGATTCGAACTAACAGTCTCCAAACTGGGAAGGTCAGCAAGGGCAGGTATTCAATCTACCTTGTTCCTCCATAGTCTTAGGCATCATCAGATAAGAACAAAGAAAGTAATGACTGACAACATGTTCTTCATTAAGTTATGTTAAACCGGGTTATTTTGAAAGGGTTATTCTTAAAGGTGTATATTGGGTGGATTATCAGATTATTAGGGAGGAACTACTTAAAGGGCGGGTAGTCACAAGATGTTCAAATGGATTACTGAAGTCATTGATGTCCAATGTGCATGTGCAGAGGGATTGTAATGAATATTAATGAGGTCATTGCTGTGTAGCACGCATGCATAAGATTCCCTATAGAAACCAACCGTAAATAAAAAAGGCTCGTCATTTTGCCTTAGCAAGCAGATGGTCACCTTTATTTAAAACACAATTTCAGTAAGCGTGCTTATGCTTCGCTACATCGCTTTTCTGTGACACCCTCATGGCAACAACCTTACAGCAACACTCAGGCATTCCATCCGCCTCAGCCTCCCATTGCTAGGATTACAGACATGACCCACGGTGCCTGGCCTTGAATTTTTTTTCTTTAAGAAGTGACAGTGAAGGCTCCGTGACCGTAGTATAGTGGTTACAATGCTGGCCACATACACTGAGGCTAGTGGGTTCAAACCAAGCCCAAGCCAGCTAATAGAAATGACAACTGCAACAAAAAAATGGCCAGGCATTGTGGCAGGTGCCTGTAGTCCCAGCTGCTTGAGAGGCTGAGGCAAGAGAATCGCGTAAGCCCAAGAGTTGGAGGTTGCCGTGAGCTGTGATGTTGCGGTACTCTACCAAGGGTGACATAGTGGAACTCTCAAAAAAAAAAAAAAAAAAAAAAAAAGAATTGACAATGAAAAGAAAGGAGTAAAGATTCCACTTAGGAATCTTATTACTTATTTAGCATACCATTAGAGGAGTTTGAGATAACACAAAAAAGAAAATGGGTGAAACCAGATCCTAGATAAGCAGGAGGGAATGGAATGAAGCAAGAGGAGGGATTAGCCTTGATTAGAAACAAGACTTCCTTTTAAAATAACTTCTTAAATGTTAAAATATTTCTTTCCATTATTAAACAAGAATAGCGTTATAGAAAACAGGGAAGAAAATGCCCATCATCTTATCATTCTTGCCTATCAGCACTTCACTGCATTCACATGCATTAACGTTTATTGGCGCTCACTATGTTAACAGCACTGTTAATAGACCTCTGCAGGTATTTATTCATTTGTTCTCATAAAAACTTAATGGGGCATCTACTATTGTGAAATCCTATTTGACAGGTAAAGAAACTGAAGCAAATTAGATGGGTTGGCCAAAGTCATACAACTAGAAAGTGGTAGGATTTGAAGACTCATATTCCTACTTGAGAGTCTTGAGGGTTTTTTTTTGGTTTTTTTTTTGAGACAGAATCTCATTATGTCACCCTCAGTAGAGTGCCTAGACGATTCTCCCCAAGCAGCAGGGACTACAGGCAACAGCCACAATGCCTGGCTATTTTCTTTTGTTGTTGTTGTTGCAGTTGTCATTGTTGTTTATTAGGCCTGGACAAGTTCAAACACGCCACCCTCAGTGCATGTGGCTGGCGCTGTAACCACTGTGCTACAGGTGCTGAGCTGAGTCTTGAGTTCTTTATAGCACTACACTTCCTGTGACACTTTTCTTCAAATGCATTTTTATACAGTTGTTATCATGGAGAGCATAAAAATTGGCTTGATCTTTTACTGTTACAGACTTCATAAAGATCTCATAATGATAAAAATAATTCTTTAAATGAATATACGATTCTTCAGTTAACTCATTCCCTCTATTGCTGGGCATTTAGATTTTTTTCCAGAATTTTCTATAAAAATAATTTGTGTGT